GTCTGCGGCACCAACGCCTTCAATCCCGTCTGTGCCAACTACAGCGTGAGTCACCCACCCCCCGCCGGGATGGGGACACCTGGGACCCCACATGTCACCCTCTCTGTGTCCGGGTGACCGGCTCCGCGGGTAGTGGGTGCTCCCGCCTGCACCCCCAAGGCAGCCTGGACCCGCGTGGCACCGCTCACGGCCCCATCTCACCCGCTACAGATGGACACGCTGGAGCCCATCGGGGACAACATCAGCGGCATGGCCCGGTGTCCCTATGACCCCAAGCACGCCAACGTGGCCCTCTTCACAGGTCAGTGCTGGCACTGCCGGTGCCGCGCTAGGTGCTCTGCCCGTCGTCCCCCACCCCGCACCCGGCTGATGCCCCTCTCCCACACAGGGGGGATGCTCTTCACCGCCACAGTGACAGACTTCCTGGCCATCGATGCCGTCATCTACCGCAGCCTGGGGGACAGCCCGACCCTCCGCACTGTCAAACACGACTCCAAATGGTTCAAAGGTGCCTGCCGTGGTGTGGTACCCACCATGTGCCACACAGCACTGGTCTCTGTCCCCTTTGACACCATCCTGGGACATCCCTGACCCTGCCATTGTCCCTGCAGAGCCCTACTTCGTGCACGCCGTGGAATGGAGGAGCCACGTCTACTTCTTCTTCCGGGAGATCGCCATGGAGTTCAACTATCTGGAGAAGGTGGGAGACATCCCCACGGTGGCCCGGAACACCCAGGGTGGGGACAGGGACAAGGAGACAGTCATTGGGGTTGGGTACCAGATGGTGATGGGTGTTCATCCCATAGGTGGTGGTGTCCCGGGTAGCCCGGGTGTGCAAGAACGACATGGGGGGCTCGCAGCGGGGCAGTGGACCTCCTTCCTCAAGGCCCGGCTCAACTGCTCCGTGCCGGGCGACTCGCACTTCTACTTCAACGTCATCCAAGCTGTGACGGACATCTTGGAGCTGGACGGGCGCCCCGTGGTGCTGGCTGTCTTCTCCACGCCTGCCAACAGGTCGGACCCTCTTGTGCTCCTGCTGAGCCCCCCCTGGGGCTGGGCTGGGACCCCTCCGTGCACTCCAGTGCCCATAGGGGACATGGGGGACATGGGGACGGGTTGAGGTGTTCACCCCATGCCCGTGTCTGCTCAGCATCCCCGGCTCGGCCGTCTGCGCCTTTGACATGACCCAAGTTGCCGCCGTCTTCGAGGGACGTTTCCGGGAGCAGAAATCGCCCGAATCCATCTGGACACCCGTGCCCGAGGACATGGTGCCAAAGCCCCGGTGAGTGACACACCACAGGGACAGGGATGGGGACATCCAGGCTGGGACCGGCAGGAAGGGGCATGGGGATTGGAATGGGGACAGGGATGGGGACAGGGACAAGCCAGGGCCGGTACCTGCAGGGAGAGCAATTGGAGTGGGCATAGGGTCAGGGTTGGGGACAGGGACAGGGATGGGGACAGGAATGATCAGGGCTGGTACCTGCAGGGAGGGTGGTTGGGACAGGGGTGATGATGGGGACAGGGACAGGGATGGGGACAGGGACAGCCCGCGCTGGTACCTGCAGGGAGAGTGATGGGAATGGGCATAAGATCAGGGATGGGGACAAAGATGAGGACAGGAGTGATCAGGGCTGGTACCTGCAGGGAGGGTGGTGGGGATGGGGACAGGGATGATGATTGGGACAGGGATGGGGACAGGGACAGGGTTGACAAGGGCTGGTACTAGCAGGGACAGTGGTGGGGATGGGGAGGGGGTCAGGGATGGGGACAGGGACAGTCAGGGCTGACACCAGCAGGAAGGGTAGAGAGAATGGGGACAGGAATGGCAGGGCCAGTACCAGCAGGGCTGGGGACCAGGATGGGGACAGCCAGTCTG